CTCTCCTTTCCCTTTCTTTTCAATCTACGTGGGTGATTTTTTTTTTTTTTTTCAAATCGGATCTTTTGGCCTTCAATAAGAGGTTTTCTACCATTCAGGCTTCCACCGCCTTTGTAGGCTGCAGATCTAAGACCAATGTCAGAGTTGCTTGCTAGTCCTGCGCTATGGGTTGTGCAAATATAATTTTTTTAATGTTTTTGTATTTTGTTTTATTATTTTTTTCCTCTTTTGTGGTGGTTTTTTTCCCTCTTCCATAGAGGGTTCGGTTTGTCTTCATTGTTGGTGGCCACAATATGTTGCACGTATGGCTGTTGGTTGGTGGCCGTAGTATGTTGTGGTTAAGATTATTGGTTGATGGTCGCAGTATGTTGTGACCTATGGTTGTTGGGTGTTCGAGTGTTCGAGTTTGAAACTCTGAACTTTGGTTGTAATTCCTTCTAGAGTTGCGGATAATCACTCTTGATGTATTTGTTTTTGTCTATCCATGAAATCTAACTTTGGCCCAAAAAAAAAAAAAAATCATGTACTAATATCTACTAAATCAAATTATTCATTAATTTTTTAAAAAATTCAATTAATTTATATTTTTCTATTTTCAAAAAAAACTCTATTTTTTTTATTTACTAAATTGACTAAAAAATAGTAAATAAAAATATTAAATAATCTCAACTAGAAAACAAAACACTATATATTGATCCCCAAAATTCCATTTGACATATTTATATTCAAGTTTATGTGCTATTGATGTGAGATTTAATATATGAAAAATGCTATGGATCCTAAATAATTGGCATTCGATAAGAGGTTTTCTACCATTCAAGCTCCACCACCTTCGTAGGCTGCAGATCTAAGACCGATGTTAGAGTTCCTTGCCAGTCCCGCGCTATGGGTTGTGCGAATCATTTTTTTAATGTTTTTATATTTTATTTAATTATTTTTTCCCTCTTTTGTGGAGTTTTTTTTCCTCTTCCACGAAAGGTTGGGTTTATCTCCGTTGTTGGTGGCCACAATATGTTACAAGTATGGTTGCTGGTTGGTGATCGTAGTATGTTGTGGTTAAGATTATTGATTGATGGTCGCAGTGTAATGCCCCAACTTCTAGGCCGCTAATAAATCAAATCAACCTCAAATTTATAATTTGCAGATAATTCATAATCTCAAATATACAAATCGTCTCCATAAATAATTAATACAAATGTCTCCAAAAATAATACATAGTTGTGGGCCCAAAAATCTTCAACTCAAATAATCTCTTTAGATGCTTCAACTCCAATCGCCACTAACTTTGCTCCACGCTTGAAAAATAAATTAATTCAGAAAGTATACAATACAACAGGAATAACAAGTCTCGGACAAAAAATAAATCAACAGAGATCCAACAATTATACAACCGATTAGATTCGATAATCAAGCAATTTACCAAATTGCACAAACAAGTCAACTCGACATATGATAATTTATCCAGAACCAAATACTCAGTCCTGCTCGGTACATGACCAGTGACCGACCTTACCCACCTCACCCAAGCACAATCGCTTATCCGGGTTATTAGTCCAAGCTATTGACAAGGTCTACTCGATCCATGTACCACGTCATTTAGCCAGACAAATCAACACTAACTACACAAAACAACTTCATAGAATTTATCAAATGACCAGAGTACTCAAACGTATCAACAAGAATGATTTCACAGAATTTAATATATGACCATGATAATCAAGAGGAGTACAAATGTGAAGTAATTAAGATAAACACTCTTTGCAAAGAGATTTAAACGAAGCATATTGTATACCACCCGAATTACCTCAAATCAATCTCCTCCGTCGCCAATACTCAAATCTCAATATTTCTCCACGAATTTCCAAATTTTAAGCCATAAGGTATGTAAGGATTCACAAAATCTACAACTCTACTCCTTTATAAAAATGCTTACTCTCATTTTAAACATTCTTAATCTAAACTCTATATCTATATAACAAATTGAGAGAGATATGGGAAGAACCACAGAAAAAAGTTGAGATGTGAGCTCAATTTATAGACAATGATACTTGGGACAAAAGAAAAGAAAGACTTGGGGCCAAAGAAAGGAATTTTACTTGGTGGGCAAGAAAGAGATTTACTTGGAGAACAAGAAAAGAAATTTTCTTGGAGACAAAGTAACTTGGAGAGAAAGGAAACTAAAATAAATAAATAAATAAAAGACATGAATAATGATAATAATGAAATGGAGGTAAAAAGAGATAAAACAAATAGAGAAAATGAGTTAGGTTCTCATCTAAAAATTTTACCACCAAACAATCACCAATATCTCTCATTAAAATATCAATACCTCAAAAATACGAGGTTTCACACGCAGTATGTTGTTGTGAACTATGGTTGTTGGGTGTTCAAGTGTTCGGGTTTGAAACTCTGAATCTTGGTTGTAATTCCTTCTAGAATTGTGAATAATCACTCTTGATGTATTTGTTTTTGTCTATCCATGAAATCTAACTTTGGCCCCAAAAAAAAAATAAATAAATAAATATAAATATAAATAAAAATTGTACTAATATCTACTAAATCAAATTATTCATATTTTTTTTTTAAATTCAATTCATTTATATTTTCTATTTTCAAAAAAAAAAAACCCTATTTTTTATTTAGTAAATTGACTAAAAAATAGTAAATAAAAATATCAAATAATCTCAAATAGAAAACAAAACACTATATATTGATCCCCAAAATTCCATTTGAAATATTTATATTCAAGTTTATGTGCTATTGATGTGAGATTTAATATATGAAAAATGTGATAGATCTTAAATAATCTATCAAATTTTTTATCAAACCTCTCACATATGTGTAGAACCCATACCCATGTGACAAGTTTGATAGAAAATTTAATAGATTATTTGGAGTCTGTAACTTAACTCTTAATATATACATGACATCTCTTACTGAAAATAAAATTAAAATGTGTAGCTAATAAACGAGTAAATAAGTTATTTATGTCAATTTCGTGTTTTACAAATTCGACATTAACTTTGAGTGGTACTACATGCACCAATTAGTGTACTAACTAGTGTACCAACACTAGTTATGACATGGTTATTGACCCCACTTATTATACAAATTACAAATACTACAAATATCGTAATCACTTTTTCTCTTACACTCATCTATTCAATTACAAAAAAAGATCAAATCATCCAAAACTCCAAAATTATTTTCATAATATACAACTACACAAATTTTTAAAATTTCTAAACTCTTTCAAAAAAAAATTATTTTTGAAATAATATCTCAAAACACAAACCAAAAAGGATTAAAGTGTTCAGAATTTAAGATTTGTAAATCAGGTTCATTATGTTTCTGGGTGCACTGCATGCTACCAAATTTAAATATTCACCGCAATTTTAAACACTTTTTTGAATATATATACATAACATTTTGGGCAAATTACACCCTAGTCCAGTATTTTGGTACTTATAATTTTAATTTGTTCGATTTTAATTCTGAATTTATTATTTTGTTTCAATTTAGTCAAATTAATTACAACTGTTAGTATTTTTTAATAAAAAAATAAACACATAAATGGCAATTTTAAAGTCAAAATTATAAGCCTACTCAATTCAATGAGGTAATCTCAATTAATTCAGTGACAATTTTCTATCAAAAACACTAACAATATCACCAATTGGACCAAATTGCAACAAAATTTATAATTAAGAGTCAAAATTAAATCAATTGAAAGTGTAGAAACTAAAATGATATAAGATGTAAAATATAGAGGTTACGGATCTAGTTTGCTCCAGCATTTTTGTTGAGTCTATTGATGTGAGAACCATATATGTGAATTAAATTCATTTCTCTTATTAGACTATAAGCTTAACACAAAAAAGTCTCAGTCTAAAACTTGAAGTATTCAAAGGCCAAAAAATGTGGGGGGAAAATGCCATTCAAGAAGGCTCAATACAAAGTATGCGCATTCCTAGCCTTCGTAGCAAAGAAATAGCAAAGTGACACAGGTCAAAAGTCTGAGGAAACCTTGGCGAATTTACACCGTCTTTCCAGGTGCAAGAGAAGAATTTCTGCTAATCGCTCCATCGACTTGGATCATCAACTTCTGATTTTCTCATTGTCCTAAGGGACAGCTACATGGACTTAACTACCATGTGTTGAATTTATTTTGTTTTGATTGGTGAAATTCCGAAAAAGAATTGAATTTAGAAGGAAATAAATCTGACCGTAGAATTTGTAAGATAAATTGATAGAGAGAGAATAAATTGTATGTATTAAGATTGATTGATGTGTATATTGTGTATATTACAAGGATTTATATAGGAGAGGATTTGGGAGTAGGTGAAGGTGGTAGTGGAGGTGGTAGGTGGAGTGGGTGGTAGTGGAGGTGGTAGGTGGAGTGGGTGGTAGTATTTACTTTTACAATTTACATTAACAGCCCCCCTCAAACTCAAGGAGGATAGGTACTAGCCAACTTGAGTTTGGAGAGAGTAACAAAACAGAAAAATAAGCTGACAAATAAAATTAAAAATGGGATAGGAGACACTGTATGGTTGTGTCAGACCGTTGTAGAAGACACGGTATGGTCGTGTCGGACCGTTGTAGCAGACAGGGTCATGTCGGACCGATGTAGCAGGACAGTTTACGGGGTCATGTCGGACCGTTGTTGCAGACAGTTTACGGGGTCATGTCAGACCGTTGTAGCAGACACTGTGTGGTCGTGTCAGACCGTTGTAGAAGACAGTTTATGGGGTCATGTCGGACCGGTGTAGCAGCTTGTGGTGGTTCCCATGATGTGTAACCATGCTCACCATGATATATGTATGATATATGTATAACCCCCCCTCAAACTCAAATAGGTGTGAAGAGAGAAACCTATTTAAGGTTGAAACAAAGGGATTGATAAAGCTGACCGGTGTAGAAGACACTGTATGAGTGTGTAGATAGGCTGCCCAAAAAATATACATGATGTACATTGAACACACGCCCAGAAAACACATAAGCATGACGGCGGTCACCAACTTGTCGAACCGGCTGCAGAGTAGGGCAAATGAGGTGCAGCAGTTAAACTCCCAGCTGGCTTTGCTCTAACGCATGTATCAGAGTCTTGTCGGACCCATAAAAAATCGCATCCTCAAAAGGTGCGCTCAATTTTTTAAAAGGCGTGCCATCAAAAGGTGTGCCCAATCTGTCAAAAGGTGTGCCATCAAAAGGCGTGCCCGATGCATCAAAAGGCGTGCCAGATATGATGGCGAGGCACGTAAGTGCCTTGGCTGGCATGCCCGTTTGTCTGGCGTCAAGAGGCGCGCGATGCGCGTGGCTGCCTCGGCTATTTAACCAAGACGGAGCCTGAGGCCGAGGCAGAGGCAAAAAAACTTGCGAAATCCTCTGAAAAACTCTTCGTTGTGTTGCGAGAGATATTCTGTAACACTCTGTTGCCTAGAAAATGGCTTCGTCGTCCCGTGGTCTGCTGACTCTCTTTCCCGACCTCAACGAGTCAACAAGAGAGATTACTGGCGTGGTGGCACTGGAACCTCAACCAAGCGCCCCGGAGTTTGCTCCGTTGAACTTTCCGATGCGGGCTGTGGAGCAAAGAATGGCAGTGCAGTCGGATGTGGAAGCCAATCAGTATACATTGAAGTCATGTGTGGAAACCATGACTGCGGTTACAAACTTGTCGAACCGGCTGCAGAGTAGGGCAAATGAGGTGCAGCAGTTAAACTCCCAGCTGGCTCTGCTCCAACGCATGTATAAGGATGCGCGAGCAGAGATAAGCGTGCTAAGGGCAGAAAACAAGGAGCTGAAGCGGAAGCCCACCGTGATGTTCCGATTTGGAGGGACGCCATATGCTGCAGTGGAGGAGCAGGGAGTAGTGATCGTGCCCAGTGGAGTGGGAAACACGGAGGCAACACCGGCAAGGGCCGCCCAGGACGGAGGCAAGAAGAAAAGACCGGCGGCAGAGTAGAGAAGAAAAATCCCGCTGTGGGTGTGGGTGTTTTGTTTTTGTTTGTTTGTTTGTTTTTTGTTTTTTTGTTTTTTTTTTGGTGTAAAATTGTGATCGGGGTTGATCCCCGGCATGAAGAAATGACAAGTGTGTGGAATGTTTGTGGTGTTATTTTGGTGTTGTTGTTTTGTAGAATAATAAAAATAAAATAAAATAAAACAAAAATAGATAAAAGACAATATTTTTGGAAGGGTGATTTGAGAAAGATCGGTGTGAGGTTTTTTTTATTTTTTTTTATATAAAAAATATATATATATATATTCTATATACTCTAGTGGGATGAATGATGGGTTGTATGAAAAGATGGGAACAAGCCCATGTGGGTTAGGGAATGGCGATGATAATGTTTTGTGGGTGGTGAAAAAAGTAAAGTGAGAGAAAATCTATTTCCGGATTTGAGAGAGAGAGAGAGAGTGAAAAAGAGATGGTGGCTCAATGAAAACCAGCCAGCCCCATCACCATGCGAAGCTTGAATCTCCATCTTTCACTCATTTCAAGTAAGTTTGGAGAAAAAATGATTGGTCTCTGTAGTCCAATCGATCCATCACGTGTATGTCTGTCATAACCCCGTGTGAATCTGTGATGAGAGAGAGCGAGATTGAAGGCCAAGCTTGTTTGCTGCATGAACTTCTGTCACATTTTGCACATAGGGCAGCCTCATCAGCGCAACAGATCACAGTTGCTGGAGCTTTCTCACACACATCACACTGGATCTTCATCTTCCTTTTCCCCTATTTTGATTCTCTTCACTTCTCTCTCTATTTTCAGCAATCTTTGCAGTAAAGGTTTTCAAGATTTAGGAGATACCCACATGGAGGAAGATGACAAAACAACCTCTAACACTAACCCAGAAAGTATTTTTGCAATCTGTGGTCTTTTTTTTTTTTTTTTTTTTTTTAAAAAAAAAAAAAAAAAAAAAAAAAAAAAAAAAAAAAAAAAAAAAAAAAAAAAAAAAAAAAAAAAAAAAAAACAACACCGAGGAAGAAGATGAACTGCACACCAACTTATTTTATTCATGTCGGGGCTCACCCCGATCACCATTTTACACCAAAAAAAAAAAAAAAAAAACAAAAAAAAAAAAAAAAAAAAAAAAAAAAAAAAAAAAAAAAAAAAAAA